AGAGATCATTGGTGCATGTTTATTGACTTTAACTTTGAGAAAATGATGAGAAGATCTAATATTAGCGATCGGGAGAACAGATAAAAGTAATATTACTACTTTGACTTTTGTTTGATGCAATTATTAAATTATCGTTTTTGCATATGAAATCTCTTCCAGTGGCATTATTTGTGGTCATAGATTTAGTTTGCATTTGCTCTATTGGTATGGTAGATCTTTCCTTCTAATCACATGGTATCAATAGTGATGAGTTGCTGAAATTGGCCTGTTGAAGATTGACTGACAACCGTTGCCACAGAGTGCGTGCGTCCTCTAAAAGTGAAACTAGACAAATTGCCGTCGTTTTAGAACAAAAAAGCGATGCATTTTCTGCTGTGCTCTTTCGCATTATTTGCCATCTTGGTAGCCGCTACCTGGTAGCTGAGTGTCTGCCAAACTGATTTCACCTCTTTTTCTCTCGACTGTAGCTGTGGTGAATCAATTCAAGCACTCACGCCTTGCAAGTCCATCACTTTTTTGTCGGGCGGCAATCATGTCGTCAGCTGCAGAAGAGGATGGCTGGAAGTGGTCTTCGTTTGGCTATTGTTGCCGCCAGTCACGGGTAGTCAGATGAAATTTTAATAACCGGGTGTTCAGACAGACTGCGTTTAATTGACGAGGATGACATGGTCAATTGCAGTGTCTGTGCGATAATAAGCGGACAGACTGATTGTCGCCGTCCGGTTTTATCTAAAGCCATTTTGAAGTTTAAAATGCTTTTTCTTCACACTTTGACGGCAGTATTGTCCAGGCACCATAATTTCAACCAGTGTCTCTGTTTTAATTGAGAAAAAGTAAAACAAATAAAAATGATGTCAAAGTGATAAAAGCAATCGATGACTAATGACTGATGATTTGACTTAGAACTCAAGTCGCACTGTGGTGACCTGTCGACAAACAGTGACTTTGGCAGTAACTAGATGCTAGGTGATCAGACAGTCTTTTCATTTTAGTATTGCACTGTGTATTACAAAAACAAAAAGTACTTTTAAGTTCAACTTACCTTTGAGTTTTCTTTTCCTTGTAATCTTGAACTCTCAATTGAAAGTAATGCTGTCATTAATCACTGGCATTTTTTCACACTGGCACTTGATCACTAATGACACCTTTTCAGTTGGTATTCAGAGTCATAAATACAAGATGATCTAACCAGTTGCTTTGCTGGCACTGGTTGATTGTATACATGTGCTGAAAATGATTCATTAAATTCAAACCATAGGTGGTTTTGATACAGGTTATCTAAAAATAGTAAAAATTTATTTGTGACAAATTAAAAAAGCTTTGTAGATACGCACGATTGTAACAAAAATGACAGTTGAAGTTTTAGTTTTAATTTTTTTGGGCAATTTGATTTTTATTTTTTAGCTTAAAATGTTGGCATCAGAGAATTAAAAAGTTAAAAACAACAAATTGAGCAGTTCTAGTTATCAGCAGCCTCACCAGATCGAGCCCCATATGCAGTGAGCTGATTTTCACAAAATGACAATAGAGTGAGCAACTCATTGTGTTTTTATGTTTTTCATCTACTCAAACAGTTTTTTTGGGAGTTTAAATTACAAAGTACATCATTATCTTTACATAGGTTTAAATTAAAGAAACAAAAATTATATTCGGCATCGGTTGTTCAAAACATAGCTGCAGCAAGCATTGTGGGATGCTTTCCTGCACGGTTAAGGATTTCCTCAGGGGCAATGCCTTCAACAGGGCGCCGGATTAGTGTAGTGGCTATCACATTGGACTCTGAATCCAATAACCTCAGTTCGACTCTGAGATTCGGCTGGGCGTCTTTTTTAATGATTTTTTGGCGCCCTGGCGCCCTCCCAAGCACCTGGGTAAAAGCCCGACATCGATTGCTTTCATAATTTTTGAGATATGAGCTGTTAAAGATGATGCATCTTAAGACCGACTTGACTGATTCTTTTTTAACTTCAATGGTAGGGGAGTTGCGTTTTTATAGCACTCAATGCCCAATAAAAGGTTAGTTAAACATTGACATAGTCAGTTCCATAGTAATTAAATTTCTATTTAAAATTTAAAAAAGTTATTTTCATGTTATGCAAATGGCCTCTTCTTTTTCCCTTCTCCTGCTGACTACCTGCAGGCTTCCAGTGAGTACTGTGGATGCTCTCCACAGATGGGCAAGGGGTGCCCAGTAAAGCAAAAGACCCACGAATCTTGAGGTAATAAGTTCTCATGTTCAGCATAAACCAGGTACAGGTACTTGAGTGTGCCCGAGAGAAAGTGCTC